CATCTCCGAGCCGCACGCTCCATCTCAGGACGTCCTCGTCCCAAGACTCGCACCTGCGTGTGCGCCGGGACTCGCTTACGAGGATACGGGGAGGCGGCCAAGAAGCACGGCTCTCCTGCTGTTTCCTCCCTCTACCTCCTCTCCTCCTCCTACTTTTCCCTCGCTCCCTCCCCTCATGCTCCTCTCTCCTTCCCCTCCTCGTCCTGCAAGCCGCGGTAAGTCTCTGGCAGTGCGGAAGAATGGGATGAAGAGGGCACGAGGAAGAATGTGGCTCCGAGAGATCCGCCACCGTGCCTCTGGCACGAAGTGGGGTGCCCCACCCCAGGGCTCATGCAGCTCTGAGAGGTAAACCCTGTGCTGCTGCAGCTGCAGCGAGCGCGACTTTTAGGTCTTTACAAAAACCACCGCCGAATCGTGCCCGAAACCTTTCCAAGGTTTTCCTGGGCTGGCTCCCGTGAGTTCTGAGGTGTTTCCTGCGTCTCCTTAGGTTGGGCATGTCCCCCCAAAGGCGGGGCGAAAAAACAAAATGCTCAAACATATTCTAAATCATTTTTTCAACAATACTAAGAAAATCATCCCCTGACTATTTTTACTATGTTTGAATATTCCTCCTGTAGAGGGACATACCCGACTCAAGCGTCTCCTGTGGACGCTATGCCCCTCCAAAGCCACCTCCCGAGCCGTCCCACGAGTCCAAGAGGGCCCCGAGTCGCCGAAGGAACGCTCCAAGCCGCCCAAGATGGCCTCAAGGTGGCCCAAACGGCCTGCAAGACGCTATGAGAGGCCTCCAAGAGGCCTCCCCCGAGAGGGCCCCGAGAGACACAAATCAGTGATTCTCAAAGGCCCAAGAGGACCCCAGGACCACCCCAAGGCGGCCCAAGAGGCCTCCAAGCGGGCCCCAAGACAGCCGAAGAGCGCCCCGAGAAGGCCCAAGAGGAGCCCAAGACGGCCCCAGGGGGCCCCGGCCCCAAAAGGGGCCCAAGAAAGGGAACACGAACCAAAAATCCAAGCCTTCCGCCTCACAAGCCCCAAGAGGCAAAAAAACAAGTACCAGGAGGCCCCAAAGGGGCCTCAAAACTGCCTCCGAGAGGCACCCCAAGAGAACCAAACGAACATCTAAGAGGCTTTGTACCCACAACGCAGGCACGGTGACGGGATGTGCCGAAGGCCATTCGATCCGCCGCCCCCTGTCGATTCATCAAAGGGGTGCCTGGCGTGTGAAATCATCTCGGTTTTGGTTTTGGTTCTTTTCCAAAAGAACTCCCCCTGGGGCTCCGGCGCGTCCCGCTGGCCACCCGGAAGAGGTGGTTGCCAACGGTTTTCCTGCCCCAGACGGCCCCAAGATGGCCTCCAAGACGGCCAAGATGTCTCCAAGACGGCTCAGATGGTCCTAATATGCCTCCAAGACGGCCCAAGATGTACCCAAGACGGCCTGAGATAGCCTGAAGATGGCCCAAGCCGGCCCAAGAGGCCCCCAAGAGGCCCCCAAGACGGCCCAAGAGGCCTCCAAGAGGTCCTCCAGGAAGGCCCGAAGAGGCCAAAATCATTGATTTTCCTTGGGTTAAAAAATAAATAAATAAATGATTTTAGCATTTGCGCCTTTTCGGCCTTCCGACGGCCCCAGATGGCCCAAGAGGCTCCCAATATCGCTCCAAGATCGCCCAAGAGGCCTCCAAGATGACCCCGTGACGGCCCCAGAGGCCTCCAAGACGGCCCCAAGAGGGCCCCAAGACGGCCCAAGAGGCCTCCAACACGCCCAAGATGGCCTCCAAGACGCCCAAGATGGCCTCCAAGACGGCCCCGAAGCGCCCCAAGAGGGCCCCAAGTCGGCCCAGAAAGGCCCCCAAGACGGCTCAGACGGCGTCAGACGTGCCAGGAACCCACCAAGATGGCCGAAGTTGGCGAGAAGCTGGCCCAAGACGGCCCAAGAGGCCCCCAAGAGGGCCTACAGGAAGGCCAGAAGAGGCCAAAAACCTTCATTGTCCTAAGGTTTTTGACGGATTTTGACATTTGCTTCTTTTCGGCCTTCCGACGGCCCGAGACGGCCCAAGAGCCCCCAAAGATCGCCGAAAGATCGCACAAGAGGCCTCCAAGATGGCCCCAGAACGGCCCAAGATGGCCCCAAGAGGCCCCCAAGACGGCACAGGAGGCCTTTAAGACGCCCAAAATGGCCTCCAAGACGGCCCTGGAGCATTCCAAGAGGGCCCCAAGTCGGCCCATGGAGCCCCCCCAAACGGCTTCCGACGGACCAGGAGCCCACCAAGACGGCCGAACGTGGCCCTAAGATGGCCCAAGACGGCCCAAGAGGCCTCCAAGAGGGCCTCCAGGAAAGCCCGAAAAGACCAAAATCCTTGATTTACCATGGGTTGTTGAATGAATTGTGGCATTTGCGTTTTTTCTGCCTTCCGACGGCCCGAGACGACCCAAGTGCCCCCAAAGATCGCCCAAGAGGCCCAAGACACGGCCCCAGGAGGCCCCCAAGACGGCCCAAGAGGTCTCCAAGACGTCCTCCAAGAAGGCCCGAAATGTCAAAACGGCCTCCAGACGGCCAAGATTACCTTCAAGATGCCCACGTGTTCCCCGAAGGCTTTCCAAACCGATTCGGGGAACACATGATCCGACAGCTTGGCAGGTCTGGCCTCAACGTTCGGCCGCATAGGCGCTTCCGAAAAGGCAGGGGGCGGCGGTGCTTCGCCGCAGGCGTCTCCGATCCGCCGCCCCCTGTTGGCTTGCCACAGGGGTGCATGGCGCGCTAGATGTCCTGAGGGGTCGGTTCGGGTTCTTCCCAGAGAACTCCCCCTGGGGCTTCGGCCCAGGGCGCCGGCCAGCTGGAAGGGACCGGAAACAACCTCAACGTCTGGAACAAAAATCCCAAGATGGCCTCCAAGAGGGCAAGATGGCTCAACGTGGCCTCCAAGATGCCTCCAAGATGCCTCCAAGACGGCCAAGATGGCCCCAATAGACTCCAGCATGGCCCTAAGATGCACCCAAGACGGCCCAAGATGGCCTCAACATGGCATACGACGGCCCAAAAGGTCCGCAAGAGGCCCCCAAGAGGCCTCCAAGACGGCCCAAGAGGCTCCCAAGAGGGCCTCCAGGAAGACCCGAAGAGGCCAAGAGGGGCCCAAGACTGCCCAATAGGCCTCCAAGACGCCAAACATGGCCTCCAAGACGGCCCCGGAGCACCCCAAGAGGGCCCCCAGTCGGCCCAGAGAGGCTCCCAAGACGGCTTCCGACGGGCCAGGGACGCACTTAGAGAGGCCCCCGCGAAGCCCCCAAAGGCCTCCAAGACGCCCCAGGAGGCCTCCGAGACGCCTCCAAGAGGCTTCCAGGAAGCTCCCAGGATGCCCCAAGAGTGACCCCCAGAGGCTCCCCAGTCTGCCAAGTAAGCCTCCAAGACGGACGGCCCAAGAGGCCCCCAAGGGGCCTCCAAGGCAGGCCAAGAGGCCTCCAAGAGGTCCTCCAGGAGGGCCCGAAGAGACCAAACTCAGTATTTTCCTAAGGTTTTTGAAGGATTTGGGACTCTGCTTCTTTTTGGCCTTCCGACGGGCCAAAAGGCCCCGATATTGTCTCAAGATGGCCCCATGACGGCCCAAGAGGCCCCCAAGACGGCCCAAGAGGCCCCCGAGACGGCCCAAGAGGGCCCCAAGATGGCCCAAGAGGCTCCAAGACGTCCAAGATGACCTCCAAGACGACCCTGCAACGCCCCAAGAGGGCCCCAAGTCGGTTCAGAGAGGCATCCAAGACGGCTTCCCGCGGTTTCAGACGAACTCGGGACGCCCGAAGACGGCCAACCCGGCCCCGAACAAGCCACCATCGGCCCCCAAGGAGGCAACTAAGAGGCCTCCAAGAGGCAGGAAGCTCCCAGGAGACCCCAAGAATGCCCCAAGAGGCTTCCAAGAGGCGTTTTCCTCCTCCTTATTCTCCTCTTCCTCCTCCTCCTCCTTCCTCCTCCTCCTCTTCCTCCTCCTTCTACTCCCTGTTGCTTCTTCTCCTCATGCTCCTCTTCCCTACGTGTTCCCCGACAGGTTTCAACGACTGCTTGGGAAACACATGGTTCAATAGCTCTAGCCCAACCCTCGCCCACATAGGTGCTTCCAGCAAGGCAGGGGGGCGGCGTTGATTCGCCGTAGGCGTCTTCGATGATGTTTACACAGTTTTCCCCCTCGACACGCACCGTTCTACACAAGCAGGGAACCCCGCAGCGCGCGCGCGCCATCGCGAAGCGGGGGGTGCCTGGGTGACGATCGAACAGCACGCACCCATACCCAGACGGGGGACGGAGGAGGCTAGGGGTGCGTGTTGTCGGAGGGGGGTCCCCGCTCGCACGGGAGCTCCCCCCCGGGTCCGACAACTCGCACCCATACCCGTAGCCAGTTCCCCTCCTGCCGACCCTCCTGTGGGCATGGGTGTGAGTTGTTCGCTCGCCACCTGGGGAGGCCAGGAGCCTGGCCGCCCAAGCAGTGTGTGTGCCCCAATCTGGGAGCGCGGGCCCGCCCGCGTGCAGCAGTGGAGGGGCCCCAGGACACACAAGTAAGTACACACAAATAAAATGATTCCCCATATTTTCTCATCTTCTTTGAATGTTCGTCTTCCCCCCCACTTCCCATAGTTTCCCATATTCTCCTGGGAGTGGACGATTCATTGTGTCTGTGTGTTTCTTCCCCTCCTGAAGCAGGCCGATGCCGAGCTGGGGGCGGAAATCCACGCGCGGCGCGCGTTCTGCCGCCCCGGCGCCCCCCACGGCCTGGAGCCCGCGGCGCGATCCCGCGCACGCGCGGCCGCGGGGATGCGAACCTGCGCGGGGCATCCGCGAACAGCACGCGCCCTGGCCTTTAAGTCGGGCCTGTCCTCCTACAGGGGAAGGTTGGACGAAGAGTAAAAAATAGTAAAAAACAAAGTACACCCCCAAATGGGGGAACAAAAATGCTGAAAAAATCGTCCCCCGATCCTGTTTGAACTATGTTTGAACATTCCCCCTGTAGGAGGACATCGTTAAAACAAATTAAACCCTGATCGGGGGACGATTTGTTTAGCATGTGTTTCCCCCAAGTTGGGGTATCTTTTTTGACTATTTCTTATTGTTCGTCCAAGATTCCCCTGCAGGAGGACGGGCCCGACTTCACCCTGGCCGCGGGGCCGCGGCCCAAAACGGGGGAACAAAATGCTAACAAAAATCGTTCCCCGATCATGCTTTCACTATTTTTGAATCTTCCCCCTGTAGGAGGACAGGCCCGACTTCCCCCTGGCCGCGGGGCCGCGGCCCCAAATGGGGGCACAAAGTGCTAACAAAATCGTCCCCCGATCATTTTTTTTAAAAAAAACTATTTTTGAATGTTCACCCTGTAGGAGGACGGGCACGCCTTCACCCTGGCCGCGGGGCCGCGGCCCAAAACGGGGGAACAACATGCGAAAAAAATCGTTCCCCGATCATGTTTGAACTATTTTTGAACTTTCCCCCTGTAGGAGGACGGGCCCGACTTCACCCTGGCCGCGGGGCCGCGGCCCCAAATGGGGGAACAAAATGCGAAAAAAATCGTCCCCCGATCATGTTTTCACTATTTTTGAACGTTCCCCCTGTAGGAGGGACAGGCCCGACTGAACCCTGGCCGCGGGGCAGCGGCCCAAAATGGGGGAACGAAATGCCAAACAAAATCGTCCCCCGATCCTGTTTTAAACTATTTTTGAATGTTCCCCCTGTAGGAGGACAGGCACGACTTCACCCTGGCAGCTGGGTAGTCGAAGCCAATCTGGCGCCAATCTGGCAGGCCCAATCTGGCAAACGGGGGCAATCTGGCGAGGGAGCCAACGCGAATCCAGTCTGGCGAATAACCCAACTCCTCCAATCTGGCCGGGCCAGATTGGCCCTTGGGGCCCAATCCAGTCTGACAGTCTGGCCTTCGACTACCCCCTGGCCGCGGGGCCGCGGCCCCGGCCCCCGGCCCGCGAGGCCGCGGACACGGACACGCGCCTCGCTCCCGAGGAGCGAGGCGGGCTTCCGGCCGCCTCCGGCGGCGCTCCGCGCACCGAGGCCGCGAGGTGCGGAGGCTGCCCCGGGCTGCGAGGGCAGTTTTTAATACATGGGAGTTTTCCTTAAATATAAGAATTTTGATGCACGACTAATATGTGAGTAAATTTATGCATGAACTCATCGTTGTTTTTAAAACTAAAGCCCTGTGACGTACCCAACCCTGTGACGTACCCAACCCGTGGACAGAGGAACTACCCCGTGACGTACCCCACCCTTCCTATACACGTGGCGATGATGCTCAGGACCACTCCATGCTGACTGGCAGTCTGAAGGGCCCGCAGTGCGCAAGAAGAGCACCCCACAGTGACTTCAGAGGAGCGCGGCAAGAAGAGGAACGGCAACTGTACAAAATGGAAACACAGGGGCGTTGAAAGAAACGCGTATGACGCACCTCCGAGTGATCCACGTGGGTGCCCTGGGCTACGAGGGGGGGGCCCGTGGACAGAGGGAAAAGAACCATGCACATACACCGACCCTGGCCAGGCCCGTCCTGAGCCCAGGATCGGTGCATACGCCCTCCCGCCCTGGCCAGGCAGGCATGTGCACCGATCCCGGGGCCGAGGATGGGTCTGGCCAGGACCGGTGCATGTGCATAGTTCTCTTCGCCCGATGTGGAGCGCATCCGGGGCTGCTCGAGGGGCCTGCCGAGGCCGACCGGACTGCCTGCAGGTGGCCGCCTGTGCGCAGGCCCGGGGCCTCACCAGGAGCGGCCATGCAAGGCCGCTCCCAGAAGAGATACTTGCCGTCGCTCGGACGTCCATTTCTCGTGCGTTTTTCGGTTTCGCGCGTGTTTTTTTTGTTTTTTTTTTGTTCGATGGTCCAGGATGGTCCTCGATGGTTCTCGCCGGGAAAGATGCACACGTCCGAGCGATGCCAAGTCACCAAGTGCGGCCATGCAAGGCCGCTCCCAGAAGAGAAAGAGAGCATGGGGCAGGAAGGTGCGCACTCGGCAATGCAGTCGTTGTACTTCGCCTTCATAATCAGTCCTGGCGCCGGAATGCTGCTGCACAGTCTCTCGACGAAAGCCGCTGCAGACAAGATGCACGCCATGGAGGCTGGTGGGGGAAAGGAGCAGATGCAGGCTCCCTGCACGGCCGATGCGAACCCTCGCCACCTGAACATCCGAAGCGCCTCGCGATGCGTCCTCACATTGATTCTGCCACCGTGTCGCTAAATGTCTGCGTTGTCCCAGAGATTACTTCATCAGGGCGAATTCCAATAGGAAGGGGAAGGGGAATGACGACGATAACGACTGGGGTAGAATTAATCACATCCAGCCGACACCCGATATATTCGTAGATATGTGCATACACGCATACGTTATACATCTACATGTCTGTATATACATCAATATGTGTAATAAGCCGCTTCACGTGTGGTCCTTGAATGTCCCCGAATATCGTTATTCCTTTCGAGATTTGACGACGTGACGCCCGATAAGCCATGTGATTTCCTTTAAAGACAATGACCTCGGTGCGGTCCACGTTCGCCATTGGTGTCAATAGTACGACCCTTCGCGCGCTCGCCTATAAAGACACCTGTAGACACCTGTTCGACGCATGAGCTACTGGGACCAGGGCTTTGACTCTCACGCTGCGCAGCGCAGCTCACCTAAACTGCACTGTCTTCGATTCTTATGTGGTCGCACATTGCCCTACATCGGGTCAGTGAGCTTATTTCCCTCCCGATAAACCAGCGCTCGCCCAGCGTGGTCGGCTCAAGACGGCCCAAGACAGCTCGATAGTCTCCCAAGACGGCTTCAAGACGGTCGCAGAGGCCCCCAAGACGCACAAGAGGGCTCCGAGAGGACCTCGAGGAGAGCCCGAGGAGGCCACAACCATATATGTATAGGTATTCCACATGGTTTGAAGCATTGTGAAATTCTCGCTTGTTTGGGCTTTCGACCGCCCAAGATGACCCAAGAGGCCTCCACGATAGCCCCACGACAACCCAAAAGGCTTCCAGGAGGGCCCCAAGTCGGCCCAAAAGGCCCCCAAGAGGCTTCCAAGAGGGCCTTAAGACGGCCCTGAAGCGCGCCAGAAGGCACCAGGCGGCCCATAGAGGCCTCCATAACAGCCACCGAGGGCGTCAGACGGGCCAAGAGTCCCCTAAGATTGCCTAAGAGGCCCTAAAAGGAGCCAGGAGGATGCCTCCAAGGGGCTCCCAAGAGGCCCTCATGAGGCCACGAGGAGGCAAACCAAACATTCATGCTCCTTCGCTTGTTGACGGATCTTGAGGCTCTCGCCTGTTTGGGCTTCCGACCGCTCAAGGCATTCCAAGAGGTCTCCAAGATGGCACCAGCACGGCTAGTTGTGCATCGGACAATGCCCCAAGTCGGCCCAAGATCGCCTAAGAAGCTCCCAAGAGGACTCCAAGGCGGCCGCAAAGCTCTCCGAGAGTGCACCGAGGCGGCCCAGAGACCCCGAAGAAGGCCTCCGAGGGCGTCCGACGGTCAAAGAGCACCCGTGCACGGCCCAAAGGGCCCCCCAAGCCCTAAGAGGCTTTAGGAGACCCCAGTGAGGGCTCCAAGAGGCCGTCCTCCTCTTCCTCCTCCGCCTTCTTCTCTTCCCCCCCCCCTCTCCTCTTCCACCTTTCCCACCGACGACAGCTGTCCTCCGCCATCCTCCCTCCTCAACTTTTTTGACGTTGATCGGACTTCAAGCACGGGGCTCGCCGCGTTCTGAAATGCAGCAAAAAGAGGCCGACTCAGGTGTAAGACAAACAAATTAGGCCTGGCTGGCACAGCGGAAAACATGACAGGCGCGAGGGAGAAGCCAAGGACAGAGTGCCCGCAAGGGCAAAGAGTATGCGCCAGCCAGGCGGTGAAGAAGAGGAGGACGAAGCGATAACTAACCTCAGAACTGTAGTACATCGAACGACGAGGAGCCGAAGAAGGAAGAAACTAAATACGCGTCCCTCCTCGATCAACCTCCTCTTCCTTCTCTTGATTGCTTCTGTGTTCCCAGCGCGCAGTTCTTTCCAGACAATCCCAAACAACGGGACCTATCTGAGCTGGGCCATCGCAGGAGGGGCTGGGGTTCCGTGGATCTTCACCTTGGAGCCCACCTTCGGCTTCGGCACCTCCTGAGCAGGGACGCTGGAGGAGAAGGGGTAAAACAAGGTGCAGGCGGATGATGGGGAGGAGAATGGGAAACGGAGGAAAAAGAAGAAACAACGAGGAGGAACAACAAGGAAACGGAAGCAGGGGAAATGAAGGAAGGGGAAGGGCGAAGGGAGGAAAGGGAAGAACAAAAAAGAAGAAGGGAAGGGGAAGAGAAGGGGAACAACGAAGACGAGTTCCCGGGAGGAGTTCCTGCCCCAGTAGAGGCCTCCCGGATTGGGTCCGACCGGATGGGGGTCGGAGGATCGCGCCGCATCGCCGATGCGCATCGGCGCCGTCGGCGTGGAGGAAATTGTACTCCACATCGAGGTGCGTCGGCGACGCATCGGCGATGCGGCGCGATCCTCCGACACCGCCCACTCCGACCCCATTTGGGAGGCCTGGACCCTGATGAGGCCCAACGTGGCTTTCGGGCCGTAACTCGGCTCTCTGGCGGCCGTTCGGGACGATTCGGGCCCCCCCCGAACGCCCTCGACGAGGCGCAGCAGATGGAACTTCCGAAGGCGCCCGAACACGTCCGGGGGATTCGACAACCTCGAGAACCAAAGGCGAGGAGGAGGAGGAGGAGGAGGAGGAGGAGGAGGAGGAGGGGAGGGGAGGAGAGGGAGCAGGAGGGAGGAGGAGGAGGAGGAGGAAGGAGGAGGAGGAGGAGGAGGAGGAGGAGGAGGAGGAGGAGGAGGAGGCGGAGGCGGAGGAGCGGAGGAGGAGGAGGAGGAGGAGGGGAGGAGGAGTAGGAGGGAGGAGGGGGAATGAGGAGGATGAGAATGAGAATGAGGATGAGGATGAGGATGAGGATGAGGATGAGGATGATGATGATGATGAGGAGGAGGAGGAGGAGGAGGAGGAGGAGGAGGAGGAGGAGAGGGAATTGGAGGAGGAGGAGGAGGAGGAGGAGGAGGAGGCGGAGGCGGAGGAGGCGGAGGAGGAGGAGGAGGAGGGGGAGGAGGGGGAGGAGGGGGGCCGCCCCCGTGGCCACGGCCGGCCACCTCCTGCGAGCAGCCCGCCGGAGAGCGGTCCTCCTCTCACGGCCCCGCGGGGCCCCGAGCCGGCCTCTCCGGAGGCCAGCCTAAGCGAGGGCTGAGCACCGCTGGGTTCGGCGGTGGACAGACCTCCCTTTAGTAGACCTCCCCTTCGTGAAAACGGCCTGGGACCGAAACCGACGGACCTGGACCCGCAAAAATGACGGCCGCGACGCCCTCTCGCGAACCGAAAACGGCCAATTCCTTAATCGACGTGTCGGGGTAGGAGGTCTGTCCACCCCCGATAGGTCGGGCCTGTCCTGCTGCAGGCGGGCCCTGGCTGAACAAGAAGAACACAGCCCCCCCAAAGATCGAGAAGAGTCAGAAAACAGCACGCAGCATCGTCCCCGGACTATTCCTGAGGCTTCCTCCTGTAGAGGGACCTGCCCGACTCAAGATCACCGCTCCGGCTTCAGACGAGCCTCTGGGGGCGCCCGGGGCGGTGCGTGTGCTCGAGAAACTGCGAAGGGGCCCAGGGACACACAGATCCCACCAGCCCTTTGGGTGACAGGTGGTCTAAGGAGGGTCTCTGTCTTCCACAACCCCTCCTCCCTACGGGGAGGGGAACCCTCCCCCTCCCCTCCCTGACGTTCTTTGGAAGGGGTCGCGGGGGGTCGGAGGCTCGTTTTTCGAGAAGCGAGACGGACTCGGCTACTGACAGCATGTCCTGCATCCTGGCCGAGGCCCCGTCCTGTGCGCCTGCAGCGCCAGTCGCTGTGAGAAGAAACGGCCAGGAGGGGGGCGCAGCTGCCCCGCAAACGACCCACTCGTCCGCGTGCTCTGCGAGGACATCGGATTATAGCGTGCCACGTTCGCTCCACGAGCGCGCTTCGCGTTCATGCCGCTCCCCATTGCAAAGCTTAGGTCGGGCATGTCCTCCTACAGGCGGATTTTCGAGGACACATGATACATAGCCAAAGCATGCTCAAAAATGGTAGAGAACGATCGTCCCCATACCATTTGCAGACCATTTTTGGATACCCCTCTTGTAGAGGGACGCACCCGACTTCATGCAATAGGGGAGCGAAAAGTGACATGAACATAAAAACTCGGAGGTCCGCGCGGATTTCTCGGATCGGCGCTGGACCCCCCTCCCTGGCGCGCGGAGCGCGCCAGGGGCGGCGCCGGAGGCGCCGCCAGGGGGCCCCAGCGCCGATCCGAGAAATCCGCGCGGACCTCCGAGTTTTTATGTTCATGTCACTTTTCGTTCCCCTACTGCACGAAGTCGGGAGCGTCCCTCTACAAGAGGAGTATCCAAAAATGGTCTGCAAATGGTATGGGGACGATCTTTCTACCATTTTTGAGCATGCTTTGGCAATGTGTCCTCGAAAATCCGCCCCCAGGCTCCACGCTCGGGGAGACGTAAGACCCGGGTACGGGGGACTCGGAAATCCCCGACGAGGTCGTCAGAAAAATGACGAGGCCGAGCCTGCATTTTGACGAGGCCTCCCGCTGCAGACGTCCCACGAAACTCCTCCTCGTCAAAATCCGAGGCGCGGTCGTCAAAAAACGATGGCGAACCCGAGTCCCGGCAAACCCGGGTCTTACGCTCCCCCGATACTTGCGCGCCGTGCGCAGGATAGCCCATGAGAGCCGTTTTCCGATCCCTGGGAAACCACGCCTAAGCGATTTGGCGCTTCTGCAGAAATTACAGCTGCCTTCTGTAGACAATATACTCAGGCGGCGCCGTCTGTTGTACATATCCAGCTTGATTTGTAAGCCCTTCCCTGCACTGCAGGCCCGTCCTGGCAAACCCGGGTCTTACGCTCCCCCGACACGCTGCGATCGGTCGCCTCCCGACACCGCCCGGGGACGCACCGCGCCCGGCGACGGCCTGGGCGTGGCGCCGCGTGCGCCGCCGAGGCCGCCGCGCTGCGCCCCGTGCCGACCGGGCCGCGAGGCGGCGCCTCCTCCTCCTCCTCCTCCTCCTCCTCCTCCTCCTCCTCCTCCCCTCCTCCTCCTCTCCTCTCCTCCCCTCCTCCCTCCCTCCCTCCTCCCTCCTCCTCCTCCTCCTCCTCCGCCCCCTCCCTCCTCCTCCCCCCCCTCCTCCTCCTCCTCCTCCTCCTCCTCCTCCTCCTCCTCCTCCTCCTCCTCCTTTTTGGACTTGGAGTCAGGATGAAGTGCACGAAGCGACACCCGCCAGGATAGGGAACACGAGACAGGAACAGGCCAGAGCGAAAGCGAAAGAGAGCACGCGAAGCATGCGAAGAACCCGGGAGCCTGCCAGGGCAGGAACGGGGTCCCGACACCCAAGAGGGGCAAGGCGGGCCGAGGCCTCGCACCGTGTTGCCTCGGACCCGCTATAGGGCTCTGGGCAGGCGAGTTCACGAGCAAAGTCGTTGCCCATGACTCGGGTATGGTAAGGATCCAGGGGCTCCCAGAAGGCCAAAAAGTCCGATTCGACCTCGTCCGAAGAGGCACCCCAAACCTGTGGCCATCTCCCCTGGAAGGCCTGCATGAGGGCAGTAGCAGCAAGACGGCACATGCCCTGGGGGTACGCCTTAGCCCGAGAGGTACGCCACTGCCAATTGCCCTCCATGCCCGCAAGGGTCTCGTGGCCTCGAGGGCCATGGAAGCACCTCCCGCCCCCCCGAGCAGCCCGAGCCCCCAGGCCAAGAGCAGGAAGGTGAACCGAGAGGAGGAGAGTAGGCTTCATCGACGGCGCTCCGAAAACGCACTGGTCGATAAGGACCCCCTCAACCTCGGGCCGCCTGAGGAGGAACTCCAGCTCGTCGAGCTCCCACGCCGAGGGGGCCCCCATGCGGGGGGGAGGAGCAGGGTGCTCCATCACCGCCGGGATTTCGAGGCGCAGGGCAACGAAAAGGAAGTAAATCGTCGTGCGGAGCAGCAGGTTCCCCGCCTCAACCTGCCTGGCTTCCTTGGGGGGAAGGTCGCCGAGGCCCCAGGGCTTGTCAGGGGTGCGGAGAGGCCTAGGCGGGGGACCCCTACACTCGGTGGTGTCACGGAGGCGCGCCTGCGACCAAGTCTCGCACGGGGGGCCAGCCCAGAATCCGGCGACCTTGATGGCACGAAACCAAAATCGGATCGTCTCCGGCCTCGAAACATCACCGCGGATGGGGTCGTTGGCCACGTCAAGGCTGATCACCCAAACAGAGACTGGAAAGGACTCGGCGGCCCTTTCGAACTCATGCTGGATATCAAATTCGCGTCGGGCCCCAGCGAAAAAATGCAAAAGATACATGGTGGGCTGGCCAGGTGGCCTGGGAACCTGGCCCGCAAGGGCTCTATCTCCAGCATCAACTCGAGCCATGGGCAGCGGTTTCCAAGCACTTTTTTCCCTCGGGACCTGGGCAGGGGGGCAAATCGAAATGCCAGGGGCCCGAAAAACCGGTTTCTCGGCATAGTGTTCTGGTCCCCCCGCTTTACGGTTAGCTTTCCTGGCAGCGATGATTGCCTCCCTGTCCTCAGCCAGCTGCTCGGGGGACTTGGGGGGCATCATGGGCCGCCAGGCCTCTCTGCACCTAGGACTTCTGATTAAGTGTTTATGTAGTCTAGCCATGGTATGATGCTGCATTCGGCAGCTCTGGCAAAAGGTACCCTTCATCCATAATATGGGGTCGCCCACCTTAGTGTGATTTCTGCTAACATGGATCTTGAGGGCGCTAGGGGCCGAGGCCTGAAATCCACAGTCATACCACATGTAGATGAGGTCCGTTTTCTGCTTTTCCAAAAACGGGGCCACGAATCCACTGTTATGGCAGAGGTCTTGTAAAGCGGTATGCAAGTCCCGAAGCCTCGCCGCGTCTTTGTTTAAGAAAAGTTGGCTTTGTTTAGCTTTGTCGAGTCGGCTCTTGAAATACCCAGGGCTGTCACGGGCGCACTCGATCCATTCTTCGAAGCTGTGTCTCGAATGCCCATCCTGTCCCCGTCCATCGTTGAGTGCATCATGGGCCAAGCTATATCCGCCGCCAAAAGCGCAAGCCAACCAGAATGCGATTGATGCAAAACATCGAGTGCCGCTAAAAGCGATTGAGGTGCGTGTTTCAGAAGCCGGGGGAGGCATCGCAACCGTGCCAGCGCAAGATGCTGGTCTGGGTGGGGCCTCTGAGCGTTGGAAAGGAAATTTAGGGCCGTCATGGTTAGACTCTCCTCGGGGTTCAACCGCGCGATAAGAGCTATGGTAAGCTTTATTGAAAGCAGTGGCAGCTCGGCTTCCCAGTGGCCCCCAGATCCCGCAGTTAAAGGTAAGCTTGCTCATGCCCAAAGCGTCAGCATATGTCAACTTTGATTTGGTCCGGGGCCCTTCGCGGTTGTTTCCCAAAAGTACGTCTGATTGGTCCAATGCCGGAATGCATTGCTGCAGTTCTGGCCGCCACCTCGGGCCCCCAGCAGCCATTGTCTGTGAGGTGCGTGCCTAGAGACTTGTGCACTCGAACAACTCGGAATGATTGTCCGCCTTCAGTTGTGATCGCTGGGGCGTCGGCTTTTCTGATCAAAAGCTCGTGTTTCTTATGCCCCTTACCTGAAAATGTGATCAGAAGCACCGACTTGCTGAAATTGACCTGAAGGCCTGTCGGGCCAATCCGGTTGTGGAGTATCTCTATAAGCCGTTGGGCCTTCGCGATGACCTGCTCCGGGTGGTCCACTGCTGCTTTCGCGGTGAGGTCGTCGACAAAGGAAGCTGTGGCCATCGTCGGGGCCGCTCCTGTGCGTGCGCACGCTCGAGGCTGGGCAAGTAATGGTTGTAGGTCGAGGGCTAGTCCTTCATCCGAGAGGTCATGCTCGATGTTCCCAATAACGATTGAGAAAAGCATGTTAAATGTATCGTTAGCCGGGGGCATTCCAGGCCGCGATCCAGTGCGGGGGGCTGCAAAGGCGTCTGTGCCAGGCATCTTCCACCATGATGCCCGGTTCAGTTCGGCTACGATGGCAAGGAAATGACAATCATCGCAATGCTGCTCCAAGATGGGGGGGCCTTGCAGGGCCACTTTGAGCCCTTCCTGGAAAGCCGCCGGCATGTCCATGCTCTGGATCAAGTCGAGGATTTCGTCGGGGTCTCTTGGGAGGCTCAAGACGAGGTGTTGCAACGCAGTATAAAACGCCGCGTAGAGGTCCACTGAGGCTAAAATAATGCAATTCCCCTGGGCTTTAGCAACCTGCAACCAAGACAATACCGAGTGGGTAGCATGGTCTGCGCCCATACCCTCGCGCCCGCCACATTGAATAGCTTTGAGGATCATGCCGAGCAAGGTCTTCCACCTGTCCCTTAGGAAACGGTGATGGTGTTTAGGAATGACGTTGCCCAGGAGAATAGAACGATAGTGCGTGTCGAGATGGGGGGCTCCCTAACCTTTCGGGATCTCCGCGACCATCCCTTAGACTGGATAGGCTCCACGCCTAAGAGGCTGGTTTTAAGCGCAACAGGGTGCGCCAGGCGAGCAAATTCGTGGGGCGCAGCGCGCAAGAGGTCGTCAGTCAGTTTATCGGGCCCCCCCGCCTTGCCCCTGGGACCGCTCGCGAATCGTCTGGCCAGCTCAATTCTCGAGGGAACCACAGAAATGTTAAGCTGCGTGTCGCTCTGGATAATCGAGCTTCTAGCATTATACTGATCAGCAAGGGCCTGAGGAGTCAACTGCCTGGCATGCTCTATGTCACCAAAATAGGTCTGCATGTGCTCGGCTATCTTGGCAAGAGTAGGGATGGGGTTACCTTCCTTGTCGTATCGCATGGGTGGAGTGCAAGCATATTTGGGCGGGCGGCCGCCAAAAGCAAGGACCCCATCTAACAATGTTCCATTCCCTCTGATTATGCTTGCCCTCGGCATGAACACGGATTTCTTCGGCTTGTCGGTCTAGGAATCCCTGTTTGTCGGCATTCAACATCTCTCTCAGGGCAGGCCTGCTAAGGCTCAGTATGCCCGCGATGGCACAAGCCCACTCTTGGGGGGTCGTTTGCCGCCTGATGTACAACCTTGCATGGGCACAGAGAAGCTGCACCATGGGCTCAGCGGGCGAGCCCTCCGTTTCTCCCACAAAATCAACCAGGTCCTCCCGAGTGAGGCGGCAAGCCAAAGCAAAGATTTTTCGAGCCTGATCGATCGAGGGATGGCCCTGGGCATGAAACTGGTTTCCCCGGGCCTTCAGGCAGGCTCTTCGGATCCTGATAAGTGCGAAAAAAGCTCTGGACGTATATGGTTTCTTGGGCCGCAAGGCCTCCACAGCAAAGCCTTCTATAGCAAAGACGTTCGCATGGCCCGTTAGTTGCTTGACCTGATCATGGATGTTGTGAGTCCAAGGCGGGACATGGACGGCCCTAAGGAGGGCCCGAAACTTATCCTGGGCTTGTGGGTCCTTCATTTTCTCGCGGTCCAAAGGTTCGGTTCCTCGTTTAGACCGGCCCTGGGCAGTCCGCGCAAGATGGGCTTGAACAGGAACATGATCGATGTGCCTGTCGCAAGAGTCAAAGCAATGGAGGGGGGTAGAGCCGCGGACGTGGTCCCACATGAACTTGTTAACGCATATGTAGTCGATCCTATGCGTGGCCATAATGTGCGCTGTCCAAGTATGCCCGGGGCCATCAGCAGGTAAGAGAGTATTAGTGGCGTAAACCTCCCCCTCCGCCAAAAACTTGTGCAGCGCGTCGCCATTCTTATCTTGGGGTTGGGGGTGTTGCTCGCCTCCGACGTACTCGCTAGTGACCTCTCCTTGGGGTTCCTGGCCTCCTGGACGCCGATAATCAGCCACTTCTGTAAGAAGGCCTGGGCCACGAATAGCTCGCGTCTCGCGGTGGCCTTAGCCCATTTGTTTTTTTTGTGACCGAGGCCTTGAGCGAGCCGGGATTATAAGAGGCGGCCCGGAAGTCCAGCTCCGCTTCTACTGGCGTCTCCTTCTCGGGAGAGGGTAAATGATGAGCAGCAGCAAGATGGGGCGCTGTCTCGAAATGTAGCGCGTCGCCCCCCAGGCGGGGGCACGCGTCGGCAAGCTGGTCAGCGCACCTCAGCCATTGCCACTCGACCGCTGGATGGAAGCCCACCACTCTTCTTAAGGCTTCAGGGATCTTCGGGGGTTCGAAATTGTCCGCCTGGAGGATCCCCGAGGTAAGCTTCGAAATGACATCAACGAACTCATTCCAGGGGTCTCCGGAGTGCCCATGGGTATGGCTAACCGTGACAGTCCGCCTCTGATTTGCAAGTTTCATGATTGTTTGCAACAGGTGGGCTTCCTCAGCGTCCCTGGCCGGCTTGGCCAGCAACTCCATAACAGTGCCCATATGACTCCATGGACTTCAATGCTAGTACTTGTCCATCTGGAAGGATCCGAAGGAAACGCTGTATAATCTAAGCTCTTAGCTGTCAGGTAACCTTGGCACGTGTAGTGATCGCCGATCTGATGCAATACAACTAAGGCCCATGCACCATTCTCGGGCGATTTGGGGTCGAGGGATCCGTCTACATATATCCAGGCCCTCTCGGGCTCACGGGCATCGGCAGGGATAGTGTTTGCTACGGCGTACCTGGTATGCGGATGCAGGATAGTGTCATTATAGCGTTCCGTAGGCCAATGCTGGAGCGCCAGAGGATAGGATTCCAGGGTCCCTCTGACATCGCACCAAGAGTCCAACAGGCAACACCTCGAAGCAACAGGGTGCGGGGCAGCCGCGATGCAGCTGTGTCGGGCCTCGTCCAGCTGAGTGGCGACGGAGGGGCCTGCCCCAGGTGGGTCGGGAGAGGGCCTGGAGAGGGGGAAATCGGAAGGGTACATGCAATGGCAGTCTCCAAATCATAATTCTGGGCCCTGTGGGGCTCGCTGTAAATCTGCGGAGGTGCCTGCTTCCCCGCAGGCGCCGACTAGGGCCCTGTGGTTCTAGCGGCATCGCGCCAGAAACCAGCTCAAAATACTCCTGAAAGTTCAGCTGATCATGCAGTGGAGGGGTCCCCTGGGTTCCGAGGGTCCCTACCCCCGCAACCGCGTCAGTGCCTAGCGAATTGGTATTAGCCTCCCCCTCATTATTAGGGTCGGCGTGGTCAAATTGACCTTGGTCCCCTGGGTCCCGCGGAGCGCCAGGACAAAGTGGGTTCGAGAGCTCCGGTGGCCCCACCAAACACGAGGGGGACTCTTCTTGTCCCGTGAATCCCTCGAAAGTCGCGGTCGGTGGCTCACTCAGATCAGTCTGATGATGATGAAGGTGTTCATCTTCTTCTTCATCGTCGCGTGCCGGCTGGACGTACGAGCAGAAGAAGGTGCCTCCCCACGAGACTGATGGGCGGAAGGTCGAATGTCGTCCTTCATGGTGCCTGGGGCGCACGCCGACTTCCTTGGTGGCTGCCCCAGCGGCCCCCAGTCGTGAGCGTTCTGACCGTAAGCTGGGTCTGCTGGCGATGTGGGACTGAGAGCCGCTGCCTGCTGGCGCGCAGGCGTTGTTGGTGCTGGAGGCGCATCTGCCGCAACCTGGGTCTCTGGTTGGGTCTGCGATGCCAGCTGAGGTTGAGCGGAGTGGAATCCTGGCGCGTGGGCTTCCGGGAGGAAGGGCGCCGTGGGTGAGCATCCCGCTGCCGTGGCAAAGGCTGGGCTGCGTACTATCGTAGGTTCCGACGGAGAACCCATCTGGCCGGGGGCCGTGACCTCCGTGGGAGATGGTAGTGCTGGTGGCTGCCCTTGGGCTGCCTGCCAGTGTGGCGAGCTGGGACTCGGCACTACCGTTGGCACGGACTGCACGGTAGGCGAGCTGTGGCGTGGGGGGGCTCTCGGCGGAGATGTAGGGCATGGTAATCTGACTGCCTCCGCCTGTTCCTGGAGTTCGCGCTGCCTCTGGAGGAATGTGGCAGTGGCGGCCTGCACGACTTTGTCCAACCCCTGCAGCTGTGGGCTTAGGATTGGTTGCGAGTCTGCAGGCGGGGTCGGTGCGTCCTCCTCCTCCTCCTCCTCCTCCTCCTCCTCCTCCTCCTCCTCCGTCCCTCCTCCTCCTCCTCCCTCCGTCCCTCCTCCTCCTCCCCCTCCTCTCTCCTCCCCCTTCTCTCCCGTCCCCCTCCTCTCTCTCCTCCTCCCGGGCCACGACGCTCGTGGCGGGTGCAGAGGCCCCAGGCGGGCGGGCGGCGAACGTACGGTCGGCCCGTATCATAAGGGAGGCGCGATGAGGATGCAGGGGCCTTGGACGCCCATTTCGCAACGAAAGTGGCCAAGGATGGACCGATGCAAGGATGCGAGGGTACCCTTGGGAAGGTTGCCCATCCTTCCTATGCGGACTGACCGTAGGATGCTCGATGCAGCGTTTGGACCTACAGGTCCCCTAGCTCCTGAGATCGCTCTTGTATCAATTGGGGGGTAACACGCGTTTCCCGGGGGGGAGGGGAATCGGGGCTTGCGGGGGGGAGGGGTAACATCAGGTCGGGGCTGTCCCCCCTACAGGCGTTTTTTGGGCGAAAACTTAGATACTCCCAAAATGCTCCCAAATAGCCAAACAATAAAAAAGAAACGTCCCCTGACTATTTTTGACTATTTTTGAATATCGCTCCTGTAGAGGGACAGGCCCGACTTCAGGGTCACAGTAACGGCGGCCGACGTGCACCCCCGAAGAAGGCGCGCCCGCAACGCTGGCGAGACATATGGTGTTCACGACATAGCCCGCGTGCACCACAGCGCCTGCGTACACCACGGTGCCTCTGTTCACCCTGACACCTGCGCGCACCATGGCGCCACGCCCCCTGTGTACACCACAGCGCCTCTGTGCACCTCAGCAGCCGCGTGCGCAGCAATGCCACTGCGGACCACACGACCTGCGTGCACTGGACCGTTTTTGTATACCACGGCGCCTGCGCACATCACACCAACCGTGTGCACCACACCGTGGCCGTACACCACAGCGCTTGCGTGCACCAGAACGCTTGTGTACACCACAGCACAGCACCTGCCGAGGCCACAGCACATGCGTGAAACACTTTGCAATCTGATCAGGAAGTCGAGCACGACGATAGAAAGAACGCTACGACGACGACGAGGATGAGGACGAGGATGAGGACGAGGACGACGACGACGCCGCCGCCAACGCTGCCGTCGATGACTACAACAACGACGACAATGCCTGTGCACCTTCGAAAACCTCCAGCTTACTTTGGTGTTCGTCGTCGTCGTCCTCCTCCTTCCCTTCTCCTCCTGCTCCCCCTCCTCCTCCTCCTCCTCCTCCTCCTCCTCCTCCTCCCTCCTCCTCCTCCTCCTCCTCCTCCTCCTCCTCCTCCTCCTCCTCCTCCTCCTCCTCCTCCTCCTCCTCCATCTCCTCCTCCTCCTCCTCCTCCTCCCCCTCCCTCCTCCTCCTCCTCCTCCTCCTCCTCCTCCTCTCCTCCTCCTCCTCCTCTCCTCCTCCTCCTCCTCCTCCTCCTCCTCCCCCTCCCTCCTCCTCCCCCTCCTCCTCCTCCTCCTCCTCCTCCTCCTCCTCCTCCTCCTCCTCCTCCTCCTCCTCCTCCTCCTCCTCCTCCTCCTCCTCCTCCTCCTCCTCCTCCTCCCCCCTCCGCCTCCTCCGCCTCCGCCTCCTCCTCCTCCTCCTCCTCCTCTCCTCCTCTTTTGCTCCTCCTCCTTCTCCTCCTGCTCCGCCTCCTCCTCCTCCTCCTCCTCTTCCTCCTCCTCCTTCTCCTTCTCCTCCTCCACCTACACATGAAGATGCCAAATGAGTCCGATGGAAACTGCAAAGATTCAAGACCGTGGCCAATTCCCAAGCGTTGCCGGGGGGAGGGGGTGCGGGGGGGGGAGGGAGGCGAGGTAATACGTGTTTTCCCTGGAGCAACAGTTTCTTTCTGGGCCAGGCTGCGGTCGTTCTCAGGTGGCCCAGTGGCCGGGGCCCTGGACGGGACCCGGAAGACGCCGCGGCCGCGCCCTGTCGCGCTGCGGCGGGGGCGGCCCATGCGGGCTGGCAGCAGGGCGCCGAGCAGCACGGGCTCACAACATGCGGCGGTGGGCAGACCTCCCTTCAGTAAACCTCCCTCCAGTGAACACTGCCAGAGGCCGGAGACGACGGACCTGGACCCGCAAAGTGGCGGCCGCGACGCCCCCTCGCGATCCGAAAACGCCCAGCTCGCTCACCGACGCGTCTGGGCAGGAGGCCCATCGACCTCCGAAGCCTCTCGCGGAGCGCCCGCCCCAGACGGGGCCAGCCGCGGGGCGCCGAGCGGCGCCTGCCAACGCTGGCCGCGGGAGCCCCGCTTGGCGGCGCGCAGAAGGGGGCGGAGGGAGGGGGGAAGGCTTCTTAGAAGGAGGCTGGCGGCGGCCTTACATCTATACCTAAGGACCGCGCCTTCTAAGAAGCAGGGGTGCTTCTAAGAAGCCTTCCCCCCTCCCCCTACCCCCATCTGCGCATGGCCGACCCGCGCGCCGCAGCTCCGCACGAGGCCTGCGCACGTGAGCGACGGCGGGCGCCCGATGCCGGGCCACGGCGGCTGGGCCCTGCGGCGCCCGCGCCCGTCCGACGCCCGGCCGCGGCGGGGCGCCCTGCGGCGCCAGCCCCCGCTTGATGCTCCTCCTCCTCCTCCCTGCTCCTCCTCCTCCCTGCTCCTCCTCCTCCTCCTCCCCCTCCTCCTCGTCATCCTCCTCCATCCTCCATGCTCCATCCTACTCCTCCTCCATCGTCCATCCTCCATCCTCCATCCTCCTCCTCCTCCTCCTCCATCCTTCTCCATCCTCCTCCTCCTCCTCCTCCTCCTCCTCCTCCTCCTCCTCCTCCTCCTGGGCGACGGCGGCCAGGTGCCTTGTGGTGGCACCAGCGTCCACCCGATGGCGGGCGATGGCGGCCAGACGCCCTACGGCGTCGGCGCCTGCTGGTGGTAGGCCGGCGGCGACGACTCGAGGCGAATAGCCCAGGGGCGGGCACTACACGCACTCGCTGGGGAGCCTTGCCGAAGGCATAGACCATCGGCACCCCTGGATATGTACTGGTCCCCCCTGGGCTATTCGAGGATTTGCAGTACCTGTGGTTTCTTCGGAGGTGAGAAGCTCAGCAGTAGTCTCGCTGAGCCGTGCTCCAAGCCCCTCACCACGGCTAGGAGACGATACCTCACCAATTTCGAGCTTGGGAGATATCCCAAGGATCAGGTTTCGAAGGTTTCGAACCGAGCGAAGGCCTCGTAGTTCGTTTCCCTTCCTCTCATATCGCACCGCGATGGAGCCCATTCCATTCCATTCCCCCTGGGCTATTCGCCCCTGTCGTCGCCTCCGATGCTCGTGGCAGGACGCGCCACGCTTGGGCACCCCGGCGCTCCGGAGGACAGCAGCCGGCAGGCCCACCGCAGCGGCGCAGGCGCCGCACGCCGCGACTCCCGGCACGCCGCGGGCCTCCGGGGCCCGCCCGCGGCCCGGCCGGCGGCCCGCTGTGGGCCAGGACCGTGC